AAACGGAATCAAAAACAATCCTTACACACACATTGCTTTTGATGACTTCAGGGAACATTAATGCCAAATGCCACGACTTGTCAACATTTTAAGCGAAATGCTGAACGACAGAATTGGCGTATAAGTATAATAGCAAAATTGAAAGTAAGGTATGTATTTATCTAATCACATATCACTGGCGAACCGTAATTGTTTTCCGATACATCTTAATAAAATGCAAATAACCTGTAACACATTCGTATTTTTCATTAAATTGAAATTTAGGGGTTTGGTGCCGTATGTTGCCAGCTACATTTTTATTTGTTTCAGAGAGGTGCATGTTACACAAAAATATCTTTTGTTTGGGTTAAGAATTGTGCAGCTGACACTAGTAGATCTCGTTTTATCCAACGGAAGATCAATTATAATCTAACAAGTAGTGTTTAGAAGTAGAAAAAATGAAAACACATTTATTCATTTATTTGAAAATTTTAAGGAGAGAAGATTTAAGAAGAAATCTATGCTAGTGATCTACAACAAAAGAAAGACAAAATATTGCATTATGAAGTGTAGAGTATTCGTACAAATTTACATCCTGGTGCAGGCAGAAACTATACAGGGTCAGTAATGGTATTGGGTTAGTGGTTACCCGGGAATTAATCGGGAATCATCGTGGATATTCAAAAATAATATATCAGACACGACATTGAGTGATTTTCAGGCTGCTTATGGAATCGCATTTTCTCAACGCCACCAATTTGATATAGTTTTCGTAGGCGAGCTAGTATTCAGATAATCACAAAGTATGGTTATTCAATCCTTTAGATCAGGAGGACCTGGGAAAGAGAAAACCAGATAGTTCTGCTGTGGAATATTGTGATGATAAATTCTTCCATGAGGAGGTGCATAAAGTTACGGAAATATTTCTTCATAAAATTTTATTTTTTGTAAAAGGGGACCATGGATATAATCTATTTTATATGATCGTGTCCGTAGTGTTATGATCAATATTGTAGTAATATTTGTTATGTTTCTATTTTGGAAGACTACTTTTCTCCTTTATGTAACGTTTTTCTTATCAGCGCAGTACAAATTTTCACATGGCATTCTTACTGGGGACCGTTCCTGGTTCCTTGTTGTTAAATTATTCTCCTGAATTAACAAATTCATCATCCCTTCATCTGTCTCTCATCTAACTTCTGATTGGTTACACACATTTTAACATATTATCTGCTTATTTTTTGTTTCCTGCTCGTAATAACTTCATAATTTTTTTCTATTTATTCTCTCTGTTTATTATTCCCATTTAATTATCTTTGTGACAACCCATCACAGTATGCAGCAAAAATGAAAGAGCTCTCACAGTGGCCTGCCGGACCTGTGTGCCTCAACACTGTGTTCTGCCGATTCCGGCAGAACATTCGGCGGGATATTTTCACTTGTGAAAAATGCTTAGAGACATGTTCACGTTAGCCTCATAACTAGTTAAACAATAGCTGATAAACGCAAGTTAAACGAGTGTTTTTTACTTTTCTAACATTTACTAAAACTGGTGCTATCTCAGTTATAGTAAAACTGACAATTATCCAAATTAGAAGCAATAACTTGGTACTCCTGGATACATGTAAAATAGGTGGGAACGAACAAACATACAAAATCCACAATAAACACGGTAGCTTTCCTCATGTTCGTGCAGTCGGGCAATGAAAGTGAAATTTTGTTGTTCAATTACTTTTTATATATTTTCACAGTCCCTTGGGTAGCTCATGGAGACCGGGATAGCTTTCTGTGGAGCGACCCCCGGATCGATTTCCAGAAGGGGCAAAAATGATGCTGTAGCTTTCTAATACACATCGTCTCAGTTTCTGTAGCTGTGTGACGACAAAACGTTTAAGCAGACCAAGTATGTTTGGTAGGGCGATGGAAACACGCCTTCCTTACTCCAAGAAGTAAATAATACACAAAAGCATGGCGCTGGCCTGGGAACACCGCCAGCTGGCAAATGGAGTAATCCGACCACAAAATTCAAAATACATACATACACACATACTTTTTCACATACATTTCCACAGTAATTCAACAACTTTAAAAGTGTAACATATTATACTTTTTGTAAATATTATTTCAATTAAAAGAAATTCTTTGAGTCAAAAGTCATGTTGATGTCACCAGAGCGTTTTGTGGACACTAATACCATTGGCGAAATATGTTTAGGTGCGATAGAAGTGGTGGTCTACATGATCTTGCCAGATAGAATGTTTCGTAACAGGGTCACAACACGATACGTAACTACACGATCGTTATTTATTTTGTTAATTGAAATCACTTAGTAACGAGATAATGCCATAGTAGAGAAACGATGCTTTTCTTTAACAGTTGTAAGTTAATATATTGTAACAAAATGTATGATTTGTTTTTGTGGTGTAAACTGAAATGTTATGAAAGGCAAGAGAAATTTATCATTCCCAGACTTTTCAATAATAATGATTTACACACAACACGAACAGAACAGAACGTAACCATAATGAAGTGAATAGATACCAGATGCGTCCTTGTCATTCATACAGTCGTAAAACCGACTAAACTTACGTATTGAATTAAAGTGGTCCGTGCGTGCATAGTTGAGAACGGTGTCATTCCGAGAACCATGAAATAGTGCGATTTAAACACAGTGCGAATGTATCCGATTTAAACATAGGGTGGTTCTTCGTTTGAACATCTGGGATGGGGGTTATCTAATCGGGAGCTTCGTTGGGATTCAATTTTTAAAATTGAATTTCCCGATTGGATAAGCGAATAGCGGCTGATTAAACATCAATTCGCCCTATTTTAAACCTGACAGTACTACTTGTGCTTTCAATAGCAGAGCAGGATAACTTGTGGGGTCTAAGAGATTGAAGAAAACCGAATGAAGAGGTTGAGGGTCTTCTTCGAACGGTACAAAAACAGTCATCCCTTGTAGCGGGAGAGTTGGGGAGCAAGGATGAGTCAAGGGTCTCTGAGTTTCAGAGATGACACATCTTCCTGATTTGCAGCAGCTTGTGCTTCCAACAGAAGTGTGAGACATCGTGTGAGGGGAATCCCCTGCGAGTAATGGACTTGCATGGCTGGAAACTACTGCAGTGGCGTTTGGTGCACGGTCTGGAGGTGGGAGTGAACATGGCTGCGGAAGACTGGTCGTCTGGGAAATGATTCAGGTACTGACTTCGGAGCAGGAGGCAGAGTTGGATACTTATTCTTTAAACAGTAGAACAGAGTGAACCAGAGGTCATAAATTGATGAAGGTATTTGAGAAAGGGTCTGAGAGGGTGAGAAAGTACCAGCTCTGTAGAAACAGGTTCCGATCGTATTGGGTAGATGAGTGCGAATGCCAAATTATCCGACGAATGCTGACAAGGGACGAGGACTAGCTTGCCAACACCATGATTTGTTTGCGATTTTAATGTTTGAAATTGTTATGCTTGAGATTTTGATGTTTGAGAATTTGATGTTTTCAATATCTGCCTTGGATATGCGCAAGAGTGCTTAAAGATCTTCCAAATGTGGGCGAAGGATTTCAGTACTCAGAAACCTGCAGACTTGACAAATATGTAGAATCAGATGAAAAAATAATGGAAGAGTTTTGTGGTTCTATCAGCAGTACTGGATTGACCGTGATCAATGCAGGTAAAGGAGGGGGCATGAAGAACTTTAAAAAATCGTTTACCAGACCTGCAGAAGCAGTTGAAAACATGGGAGATTCGTGTGCTTCCGACAGCAATACTAGTGGGTGGGGGCTTGTGGAAGTGAGGGGCCTAAGAACTTATTTGACAGCCGTTCTTGTGCACACGGGTGCCTACAGGGGGGAGGAAGTCGAGAAAGACTACGGATCACCTGCTTACCCAGAGGAAACAGGTTGAAAAGAAATTGGATAATCTTCTCCTCTCACTAACCACTATTGGATGGGCAGTGCTTCGTGTGTGGTTTGGGAGGATCGTAAGACTCTGAGAATAGACTTGACAGCCCTACAAAGCAGGTTAATAAAATGGCTGCCTGAGTACTGCCTTGGCGGAGATGGATGTAGAGCTCGAGGTGAAAAATATTGGAACTAACCTTACAGCCTGGCAAGCGCACAGGGATACCTCGAGTGAGTGACAGGTGTTATGTACTCGCGTGCTAGCCATGCGTGTGATTCTTGAGTACCTGACACCAGCTTTGGACAGTGAGATTTGCGATCATGGCTTGGGAAAGCAGTGACTGGACATGAGAATTGGCTTAACATCTCTGAAGAAGCAGGTTAATAAAATGGCAGTTTACTTGTACGGCTGAGTACTGTCTTGACAGAGATGGGGTCAGAGCTCGGGAGATGAACAAGTTTGACAGTCCAGCCCGGCCCAGCGATGCATGCAGAGTGCGACGTGTCTAGACGACCCGCCTTCCAGACCTTCGGCAGCGGGTTCACAATAAATGGAAGCTTCTGACACCAGTATTGGATGGTCGGAGGAGCGTGAATGGTTTGGGAATGGGGTGAAGAACATTTGAAGATGCTTGACGGCCCTGAAGAAACAGATTAAGAAGAGGAGTGGCTTCACCAAGGTGGATGCAGGGCTTGAGTGAAGAAGGACTTGGGAACCAGATTGGCAGCCCAGCGGACGACAAGGTGTCCCCAAGGAGCGTGGAGTATCGAAAACACACTTACCAGCCCTGCATCAGCCGTTTGAATATAAATGGAACATTTTCGTGCTTCTTACAGCAGTTTTGGATAATCAGAGACGCGTGCATGGCTTGGGGAGGGGCTTAACGAACTTAGACTTGGCAGCCCAGCAGGGAGACGGTGGTACCTGAGGGAGAGTGTGAGGTTGAGGTCTCACCTTTGATCCCTGCCGCAGGAGGATGAGGATAAGTGGGGAAATCTCGTATTTGTCACCAGTATTGGATGGTCAAAGACGCGTGCATGGCTTGAGAAGAGGGGTTAAGGAGCACGGACCTGGCGGGAGAGGGGAACCAACAGCACCGGGGCGCGTGGGGCGTCGAGGGCTCACCTGCCACCCCTGCAGCAGCAGACTGCGGTCGACGGTGCGCAGCCACATGACGGCGTCTCCGGCCTGGAAGTCCTTGAGGCGGTAGCACTTGGTGTGCAGGTAGATGCCCAGGCACTTGAGCAGCTCGGACGTGGACGCCTGGATGACGGTCTTCTTGGGGGCGGCGGGCGCGGGCTGGGCGTGCGCGGCGGGCGCCACGTTCGCCG